ATAAAATTATGCAAATAATGTATAAAGTAAAAATAAAGTTACTTTCCCAAAGTATACAATAGTTTTTTTCTTGTGTAGAAATCAAGTATGATTTTAGAGATATTTCCGTATTTTCCAGAGTATAAGTCGCACCAGCCATAAAATGTATGCCGAAGAACAAAAAACATATTTAAGTCGCATTTGGGGGGAAATTTTATTATTTTTCTTAAAAAATCTGAGACCAAGAATTTCACATTGCAAGACAAGTACCGGTAACAATAACAGAATAAACAACCAGGGTGCAGCACCCCGCCACAGGCTCCAGCAGAGGATGGCGGTGTTTCAAACCCTCCCAGCGGGCGGGGAGAGCTCATTCCTGGGTCGGAGTCGGCCCGCAGCAGCGCGGTTTACATAATTTGGTATATAAGCCACTTTGGTATATAAGTCGCAGGACCAGCCAGACTATGAAAAAAAGTGCGACTCATAGTCCGGAAAATACGGCAAAAAAAGAAGTTAAAAGGAAATGTATATCTGTGGTGGGGGGTTAAACTATGGAATAATGCAAGTGTAAATGTAAGAACTTGTGGTACATTTTTGTTGTTTAAAAAATGGTTTTGAAGATAATTTTTGATGGTTACGAGAGTTTATAAGTTGTGTTGTAAATGTAAGAGTATTGTGAACTTATTTGACTAAATGGTGTATAATTCTCTTCTTCTTTTCTATTTTTGCTTAAATTGTACAGATTTATGTGTTAAAGGGGAAGATTAGAAGAAGAAGAAAATATAATTTCTATAGCGCCTCTCAAGATAAAAATCACGAGGCGCTTCAATTAGTTTAATTGGTTAAAAAGGACAGGCATAAATATAAGCATTTTGCTTCGGCCTGAGCCTTTTCAGTCACTTTAAATGTAATATAATGTTTTATTGATTATATTATTATTATGTTTTGTTTGACTGAATAAATTCAAATTCAAAAAATTCAAATTCAAAGATATTCATGATATAACACGACTCTTCTGCTGCTCTGCGACGTTGGTGTAACACAGGAACACAAGCCGAAAGTTGCTAATGCTAATGGTTAGCCTATGCTGGCTGAGATGTGCTCTGCTCCTGGATGCTAAATCAAAAACAACCTTCCTCGTTAGATTTCTTCTCCACGGTCGTCTCTTTTAACATCACTCCTACGGAGCGGAGGTACCACCCATGAATCCATCGCGGCCGTAGCATCAACAGTGACGGCTCCTTTCTCTGATAACTGAGTAGTTTTGATAGCAGAAACTATTTCTGGCTAGTTCTAGGGATCTCTGTTCACTGAGCTGTGGTGATTTTCTTACGTTAGTACTGGTGGGGAAGTTGTCTTCTTAGCTTTATATGAATGGTGTGGAACATCTTCACAAAAACGTCAGACAAACAAACTAGCATTGGTGGAAATTAGCATCTTAGCATGACAGCGCTAGTTTTGAAGCTAATTTTAAGCTAGAAGCCAACTTCTTTTCCTTTCCTTCACTGAAAAGTTAACCTCTGACGTTTCTAGAAAGTAGATCTGAATTTGTTGTGTAATCACTTGGACCTTTGTCGTCTTGAGCTGGCGGGAACTATCTGCCGTGCAGGCGTGCGTTACTGATACGACTGTGTGTAATGGAGCAAATGGCGGGTGAAACGTGGTGGCTGTCTGGCAGCCAAACGGGGTCATTCAGGGCCGTAATGTCGTAGCGTTTAACTCACGCCTTTCATGTTTCTTCACGAGACGTCCTTCGACTAGCCCTGGGATCTTTTAATGGCCTTGTCTTTCTGAATGGTCATTGAAGTTACACAGCGTGATGGCTGATGTGATCTGCAGCCACTGGTGTGTGTGTGTGTGTTTAAGGCAGAGAAGGAGAGAACAAGATGTTGATCTTAGAGGATGCTTGAGAAACTACGTATTTGTACGTTTGTGCTCTAATGTAAAATGTGTCAGAGACTTCTGTATTGAAGTGTGTGTGTGTGTGTGTGTGTGTGTGTGTGTGTGTGTGTGTGTGCGTGCATGCATGCGCTTTAACATTGATCACATCCTCCTTAAACAACATGCAGTAGAGCGACGGCTCTCTGGACTTTGCTTCTGCGTTTTCGTGATCGATGATTATTACAAAATGTCTGTATAACTCCGTGTCCATCAGCGGTGTCTCTACAGCGTGCAGGCCTATTTTAATTGTTGCCATGGAAACAGAGTGCTGCCAGAGAAGTCCAGATTCGAAGAGGCCATCTCTCTTTCGCTCTTTCTCTTCCTCGCTCTATCACTCCTCCTTGTCGTCTTCCTGGTTGTTCTTCCTGCTCTCCGTCATCCCTCTCTCTTCTTCTTTTACACCGTTTCTCTCTTGTTTCTGCATCTCCGTGCCTCCCACCATCCCTCCCACCCCCCCATACTTCCTGCAGAGTGGTGTGCAATAGAAAATTAACATAGGGACCTGTAATTAGAGCTGACGAACCTCCAGCAATTAGTTTTCCCCACAGAAGTTGTTCTGTCATCTGTGTGCGCATCCCTTTATCCTTTCTCTCAATCTTCTTCTTGCTTTTTTCTCCTCTGTCATTCCCCGTCTCTTCAGCTGTCAGCTTCACAGGGTGGATATTGTTTTAGTGTTTTTGTTCGTCGTTGCAGCTTCTATCTGCCTTGTTAGCGGCAGTCATGTGTGAGATATACCCACAATGCACTACTCAAGATTTTACCTGTCCACTTCCTCGGCTTTGCGGTGAATGCGGCCCACGAAAAGCGAAGGGAGCATCCATTCCCGCCTACGCCTGGGGGACAAACGCCCTCCCACTCTGTCTGATGTAAACATAGATTCTGTTTCTTTACTGAGTTTCCCTTTTCCCTGACTCACCTAACCCGCCCATCTTTGGTCCCATTCTTAAAAATCTTCCAGAGGAGATTGGAGTCAGCCAGAGAAAGAGATACGGATACTGGAAGGAGGGCTGGCCTGGCCAACAGGGGTTGAGTGGTGAGGGCGTGTTTTGTATCCTTGCCCTGTGAGCTGTCAGTCACCAAATCCATTTCTACATCAGTCATCCTGTCTGCATCTCAGTCACGGTGCGTCACTCATCTCCCTTCAGAGAGTTTGTCAGCGCTGGGGAGGACTCGTCTTTTCCTCCATCTGCCTTTCGACACTTGCCTTTACTTGCTTTCTTCTTGCCGTGCCAAATTGTTCTGCTGCTTCCTTCCTTTCTTCCCTCCTAAGAAACTACATTTGTAGTTTAGCTGTGTTGGTCAGTTCATCATATGGCCCTTTTCCACTAATGTCCACTCTTGGGCTCGTCTCGATTTACAGTTGAGATGGTTTTCCATTACAACTGAGAAACAGCTCTAGTGGGCTTATCATAGAGGATCACCCTCAGAGTTAGAAAAGAAGCAGAGAGTGATCCATATACTCAATCTCAACTATGGAGGACACGGTGTGTAGTTATCATTGTCTGCAGCTTTGCTGTGCAAAAAAACACCTCAGACAGATATGCACACAAACTTCACACAATACACAACATAAGTGTCTACTAGGTGGGGAGGTAGGGTTGGGACTCTCCTCACTTCAGAGTGTGCGGCCGCAAGAGCAGCGCTCATCACCTCCGTTTGGACGGGGGAGGAAGATAATGGGTTAGAGAGCACAGTGACTCCTAGATACGGTTCCACGGCTTTCATCGGTCACAGTCCCGCCCAGGCTGGGATAGGGAGAAAGAGTTTCCATAGCGACCGCAGCATTCCACATTTCTTCTGAGGGGAGAGTTATCACTTCAGCCTCACAGGCTCCAAGGGCACCAGATTCAAATAAGAATTGTTTTGGGTACAGACAGAGATGATTTTCTCTCCGCCTTAGTGTTCTGTTGGTCTGCAACCCCTCTAGATCCAATAATGGCATAATTAATCAATCCCAATCCGTGGTGATCCGTCCACTCGCTCCTTGATGGAATCCATCTTTTATGCCAGAGCCTGAATCTCAGCCAAAGTTCCAAGCTTACGACTCATCTCGACAATTATATGAGTTTGTGCGTTCACAGCGTGGTGCATTCCATTCTGAGCTCCGGGATTGAGCCAATATTCCTCGAAAGCTTGTCAATTTTCCAGTAAGCCGGGTAACCGCTCAGGCCAAACAGCAAGAATCCCGACACCAAAACGACGACTATCCAAACATCTTCAGAATCCTCTACAGACAGTTGAGAGAGGCAGATCAGGTTCCACTGTTTCCAGGAGTCCATGATATACCCAGCCGGCTCTGTCCCAGAGGGGCCTCCGTGAGCCCCTTCTCCCGTTCTCATCATTGACAAAATTTTGTCAATTGCGTTGAGAGACCAACTGACCAGGTCCATTTTTGATAATTTCCAGTTTCCAGAAAAAATGGAGAAAGCGCCGTACACACAAAGACAGGACAAAGAGCCTTGGGATGAGGAGGGAGGGAGAGGAGAAAAAAGCGTGTGGACTCTCCAAGAGCCGGAAGATCTGTTTTTGTAGTTGTTTGGTTTCTCTTTTAAAGCTCCAGACACTCCTCTCAGCTTCAGTATTTTGACACTTTGATATTGAAGTATTTGGGATTTAGCATTTGGATTACATTTGTAAACAATAAACCCGACACGGTTGGGTTTATCGGAAGAACAGAGGCTGACGACGACCTTGAGGAGAGTCAGGGGACTGTTTAACCAAGAAGGTCCTGGTATGAGAAGCATAATGCTTCCTAGACAGTAAACAAGTCCAGATGCTTTTGTTTGGACATGAGATTAGTCAGCTAGTCTATCTGTGACTTTTTATATCTACTGCAGCTGCTTTCATGTTTTCAAGCTTTATTTTAGCCCCAGTTTCTCTTTTACTTCTTTTTTGCTTCAGTCATTCAGTTCTGTGAATAAATATTAAAACCACACTCGTCTGTATTTGGTTGCTTTGATCCGTTTAAAAATGTTAACTTGTTTTTCCTTTATCTCCTCCTTTCTCCTTTTCCCTCCTTCTCCCTCTTCATGAAACCTCTATCTATCGTCACCTCTGTTCCCCGCCCTTGTCTTTTTTAGGTGATCCTCTCCCACTCCTGCACTATGCCTGTCTGCGGACGCTGCGGTTCCTCCCTGCCTCGAGGACCTGCTGGGGCCTGCTTCTACTCCAGCGTTGTCCGGGTGCAAGAACAGTTTCGGAGCCTGCATCGTCTTCTGCCTCCATCACTCAACCGCCGCACAAACACCTCACTCTGCCTGCCGCTCTTACTTCTGCTGCTCTGCCTTCTCCACCTACCCCCGGCCTCCTGCCACTCAAGGAGAGAAAAGAGTGGGGTAGGTGGGGGCGGCGGCGCCCACTACATACCCATCCCTCAGCCCCCTCCGCATCACTTGGCTCTGCCCAACATTTTACGGGGCCTCAGCATTGCTGTCGTCCTAGTGGGCAACTCCAGCGAGGTGACGCTTGCGGGGGCCCGAGAGAAGGAGGACTTCATCCACATGGCGCCCAACGTGGAGGTGCTGACCATGAATGAGACGGACCCAAAGAGCATCATCAAGAGCATCTGTGACCTGATGACGGAGCACTGGCTGCAGGGCGTGGTGTTTGGTGATGACACCGACCAAGAGGCCATTGCTCAGATCCTGGACTTCATTTCCGCTCAAACCCATATTCCCATCCTCGGAGTTCGTGGGGGCTCCTCCATGATCATGGCTGCCAAGGTAGGACACCTAATGTTATGCAAAATATGTGTTTGTGGTGTTCAAGAGGTCCTTGTGCTGTTAAAAGTAGCAGTAGGTTGTTGGTCAGTAATGATTAATGTGGACTTCTGCATTTGGCAGTGTTTGCTGTGATGAAAACACCAAACTTATGCCTCCATTCTGATTCATGGTTGTCATCATGAAATATCCCTCACAGGTGATTGGTTGGTTTTTAATCCTGAAGCCTTTCTGGATTGGCTGCGGTTTGCTTGTGCAGCTGTTTCCACTTACATGCTATTCTAGACTGAACAAGGACCTCAAGGTTCCTAAAGGTGCACAGTTTAAAGGGGCATTATGGAAGTTTGACAGCCAAAACATGTATAGAAATAATAAATGTCTTCTTCATACATTCTCCTGCAATGCCCTGGTCCTGTAGAATGAGCCCTGGCATTTTTACTGTGATTGCCTGTTTTTCTGTAAAATCCCAGAAAAAGAGAGATGCTCGGGTCGAGCAGGCTGCTTCATGCGCGTTCACGCTCAGGCATCGCCCGTAGCATTTGCTATCAGTAGCTCAAGCAGCAGAGAGAGAGGCAGTGTTCCTAACACCTAGTGACAAAGCTAGCTACATTTCTGAGGACCCTTAGCTTCTTTCTGTAGAACTTTCTTCTAGAAATTTCCTGCGAATTAGCAACAAAATAGCCATTTTCGCTCCGAACTGTTCTTTGGTTTGACGTTGTTTCAGCTGTCATCAAGGATATAAATGTTAGATAGTCTGAATGTTACTGGTGCTTTAGCTCACCTTGAAAGACGTCGGACTCTCATGCAGAAGACCTGGGTTCGATTCTGGATGTGAACATAGTTTATTTAGAGTTTCTTTTTTACATTAAAGGTATGTTTTTTACAGTAAGATGCCCAAATTTTTATTTGAGACTCGCCGAACGGCATTGAATTCACAGATAAAAAAGATGTGGGTTCAACTTTCATTTTGGAACAATTTTTCAAGCAAGGGAAGGGAATGATCTGAGCATGCAGGAGGACTGACCCATCATAAACCTTTGTTGGCTGTGCTGAAGAGAAAGGTACAGAACCAAATTATTTAACTAATTAGCTGCACATTCTCCTGTCCTCTGTCCCCCCCCCCCCCCCCCCCCACACACACACACACACACGGGACTGTCTCAGCTGTTATTTTCGTTAAGAAGGAGTGTGCACGTACAGCATGCGCACCTCGTGCGCATACTATTGAAGCTGCAGTTACACTTTTGGCCTGAGGGGGCAATCGCGAGCATAAAAATTAAAATGTCCGTAAAGTCCCTTTAAAGGTTGTCATGCTTTTCCCAACAATTCTGAGTCTAAAACAGGATATTAAAGGAAAATGCTAGTTTTCCTGAAGTCTTTATACATGAAAACCTCTCGTGGAAATCAAACCTCGCTTCACTGCAGTAGAACGTCTCTCAGCTCTTCTCACGCCATTGTGCTGGTACCATATTAGTGCGCAGAAAGGCAGGCAGGAAGGATTAGCTGGGGGTGGGGGGTCTGACTTGAAAGCCAAACGGCCAACAGAAACGATGCCAGCGACAAGATCAGCTGGAGATTGCACCAGGACAGGGTTTTTAGATCTCTGCCTGTTTACCAGGCCTTGCCTAATGGGATCAAGCAATCTGCTGCTGCTTCATCTGCAGACCGCTGGGATCCGGGTTTGGACGTTCAGAACAAAAACCGGCTCATTCAGCCGGAACTGTGGGAACGTCTTAATGACCAAATGCCGGTAATCAATTTCCCTCTGGGATTAATAAAGTATTTTTGAATTGAATTGAATTGAATTGAATTGCTCGATGATTTGGAGCTTCAAACAGGACGAGTGTTTAGCAGAACATTTATTCTGTGTTTTTCTAGAGCAGAAGCTTGAGAAGAAGTCTCCGCAGACGAGTATTTAACCAAACACCTTGTTGTGAGTTCTGCCAGGCAGAGTCAGCGGCTCATCGCTGACATCCGTGTTGTCATCGCCGCGTTTGTCTGCCGACCCTCTGGTGTCAACAGGTCGCCGTGCCAGCAGAGACATGAGCTGCAGTGACACTGCGAGGCCGGCGGCCCCCACTGAAGCTCTTCTCTCTGCTGCTTCTCATTACGGCTCTAAGGGGAGATTTGACAGGGACCAGTCTACTCCCATTTAAAAACACACTCCTCCAACAGCTCTGCACACACACCCGCTAGATGCACAACGCCTCCCTACACACTCTGCTGCAAAATCCATCAGCCTTTAGCCTCCAGCTCCAAATGTCCTCAAAAACAAAAATAATTCTTCTGAAGCAATCCACCTGTCCTCCTGTTGCATTATGTTTGAGGAAACATGCGGGCATATGGGTGGGATGGCAGCACCAGGAAGTCAAGAGACTCAGCATTCTTCATTAAGTACGCAAGTGCACCAGAGCGTTGAAAAGAGCAGCATTTTGTTGTGACAGAGGTTTAAATGGATTTCCCTCGGCACGCGACAGAGTTAGCCTCTCCTGAGATGTTTCTCCTGGCCGCACCAAAGCCCTGGAGACAGAAATCAGGGCTGCGTGTCTCCAAACGGATTTGTGTGTGCCTAATGGACCGAGACGATGGAGTGGCAAAAATACGATCGAGAGGGATCAGAGAGGAGGAGGGGAAGAAAGAGACGCATGGGAAATAGGAGTAATTGAGATAGTGGTGGAGAGAATGAGATTGGGTGGGAAAAGAATTGTGCTTTGAGCGAAGGAGCTGGGAAAGGAGAGGTGTTTGGTTGGATTGAGCTCCAGATGGATCTGTCTGTGAAGGTGTTGGACAGATGGGAGCGGAGGGTTCAAAGAGGAAAGACGAAGGTTTCACACAATTCGGTCTGGAAGTGGAAAGAAGAAGCTGCGGAAGGGAGTATCGGATGCTTCAGGGTGAAAAGACCAAGGGTTGACTAAAGAAGATGGTCTTTTATACAGGGCCTCTCAAGATAAAAATCATGAGGCGCTTCACAAAAACAAAAAGAAATTAAAGTATAGAAAGATTTAAAAAATGGTTAAAATATGTTTAAAAGGAGAAAAGAACAAAAAATGTAAGGAAAGGGAGAGGGAGAAAATGAACAGGAAAGAGGGAAATCAATGGAAAGGTGGAATAAGAACAGAATGAGGAGAGGGAGGTGATGAAGGTCACGCAAAAGCCAGCTTGAACAGGTGAGTCTTCTGCTGCTTTTTAAAGGAGACCACTGAGTCCACTGACCTCAGGCTCAGGGGGAGAGAGGTCCAGAGTCTCAAAAAGCAAGGTTGATGTAAAAGAATGTTTCATGATTTGGTTAAGTCTTGAAAACAATGTTGTGCGCAATCTCATGGGAAGACCTTTAAGCGCTGGGGTTGTGTCCAAATGCACGGTCTGCAACCTTCCAAGTGTGCATTTCACAGCAACCTAACAAGGCTGTCCAAGTTCAAAGGATGCTCAATGTATCCTTATTTTCCTTGAATTATAAAATATAATAATCAACTTCTCCTCCATGTTTGCTCGGAGCATCCTGTCCGCTCATTGGTCAGTGAATGAAACCTCCGTTGATTGGTCCTGGTCCGAGCGACAGCGATGAAAAGTTGAAAATGTTTCAACTTTCTGGGATCGCGTCGCTGGCTCGCCTGTGCACGACACGTGCACGAGCGCAAAATTTCACACTCATGTTTTTCGCGTTTCGCTTGGTAGGAGGGTGACCCGCGATTATCGCTTTGTTACGCATGTCTCATTGAAAATGAATGGAGGAGAGGCGACGTCGCCTCCCGTGTGTCGAGCTCATAAGCCTATAGCAGCATAACTAGAGAGATAACTCAGGATAACCTAAATTACGTTTTAGTTTTATTCACTGTAGCTGAGTTTACATGGGCACAAGTAATCGGAATCAATGCCCTATCAGATAAAAAATTCTTCATGTAAACATGTCAGTCAGAATATTCTGATCCGTTATGGCCTGATCGGAATGATGGTTTTGTCCGATCATCATTCTTATTGACATCCATGAACACGTCCGTTAGGATTGTTGGAGTATAATAAAGCCCACTGCGCATGTGTACAATTTCAGCTGACATCTTTGCGTTTTGCAGCCCAGGGGCACCTCCAGAAATTTTGATAGGGGGGGGCCAGATGGGGCCAAAGACATTTTTGGGGTGGCACACCAAACATGTCCTTGCGGTAATTCTGGGAAAGTTTAGCCTGGCGATGTGTTACATTGCTCCTTTATTTGTTTTTATTTAAAAAACAGTGTGTAACCCACTCTAGGCCAGGCAATGAATATTAAGTCTGTCCTCAGAGCCAAAGTACATGAATAAAACGCAATCAGACTTTCCAGAATGAACGTATTTACTAACAAAAACAGGATATAACAATAATAATGTAAAGTATTACCTTTATATTTATTTATATATTATATTTTTATATTTTATATTCTTATAATACTATAACAGGAATTGCAAAACACAACACCCCGTATAATAAATGGAAAAATGTAACAAAGTAAATCCCGTGATTTCCAGAGTCCACGATTTGTTTTAGAAGAGATCTCCTTTGACAGTCTAACCAGCAAGTCTTTATCTCTCTTTATCCAAAGGTGAGACCGTATAGACTCAAGATGATGTACAATTGTCACATCAGAGGTCCTACCACATCACAGTGGGTATGGGTGGCTCGCCATCCCGGATCCCACCACCGGGAATCAACCAAAAGGGTCAAACAAGCAACAACGAAAACCTGACCTAAATAAGACCAGAAAAAAACAAATTAGTCAGCTGACAAAACAAGTAAAGACAAAGAATATAAATCAAATATGTGTTAATTTCATTAAACACACATTCATCATATAACACACCCGTTTCTCAGGGCAATCAAACAACAGGTCAAAGCAATCAATTTAAGTGCACTTAGGTCAAACCTGACAACAAGGCCAAGTTCAGTTAGGTTCACATGATTATGTTGTACAACTACTTTCCATAGATTCACAAAACAAATCCATACTTTCACAATTATAATAAATAAATCAC